AACTCCATATATTATAATGATGGTCAGTTAAAGAAAATTTAAATACTAATTTACTGCTTTTTTATGACAATGCCACAGGAAATGCTTGTTCAGAAAGCAAATGTAAACCATGGGCCCCTCCAATACTGGCATAACGGTTTGATTGCCTAATTTTCCTATCAAACATGTGATACAGGGTGTTGTTTCTTGACAGCTCACAATAACATGCATATCACATTCTATATTTCATTTTGTCAGATGATTATCATTTTTAGCTCGACTATTCGATAAGAATAAGTAGAGCTATTGTAGTCACCCGAGCGTCGGCGTCGGCGTAACCACTTATGTTAAAGTTTTTGTAATAGTTTAAATATTTTCAAAGTCCATTGACATATGGCTTTGAAACTTTGCACACTTGTTCACCATCATTACCCCAACCTGTAAACAGGAGGAGGTAACTGTATCAAGCATTTTGACAGAATTATGCCCCTTTTTCGACTTAGAATTTACGTTAAAGTTTTTGTAATAGTTCAAATATTTTCAAAGTCCATTGACATATGGCTTTGAAACTTTGCACACTTGTTCACCATCATTACCCCAACCTGTAAACAGGAGGAGGTAACTGTATCAAGCATTTTGACAGAATTATGCCCCTTTTTCGACTTAGAATTTACGTTAAAGTTTTTGTAATAGTTCAAATATTTTCAAAGTCCATTGACATATGCTTTTGAAACTTTGCACACTTGTTCACCATCATTACCCCAACCTGTAAACAGGAGGAGGTAACTGTATCAAGCATTTTGACAGAATTATGCCCCTTTTTCGACTTAGAATTTACGTTAAAGTTTTTGTAATAGTTCAAATATTTTCAAAGTCCATTGACATATGCTTTTGAAACTTTGCACACTTGTTCACCATCATTACCCCAACCTGTAAACAGGAGGAGGTAACTGTATCAAGCATTTTGACAGAATTATGCCCCTTTTTCGACTTAGAATTTACGTTAAAGTTTTTGTAATAGTTCAAATATTTTCAAAGTCTATTGACATATGGCTTTGAAACTTTGCACACTTGTTCACCATCATTACCCCAACCTGTTAACAGGAGGAGGTAACTGTATCAAGCATTTTGACAGAATTATGCCCCTTTTTTGACTTAGAATTTATGTTAAAGTTTTTGTTATAGTTCAAATATTTTCAAAGTCCATTGACATATGCTTTTGAAACTTTCCACACTTGTTCACCATCATGACCCCAACCTGTAGACAGGAGGAGGTAACTGTATCAAGCATTTTGACAGAATTATGCCCCTTTTTCGACTTAGAATTTATGTTTAAGTTTTTGTAATACCTCAAATATTTTCAAAGTTCATTGACATATGGCTTTGAAACTTTGCACACTTGTTCACCATCATTACCCCAACCTGTAAACAGGAGGAGGTAACTGTATCAAGCATTCTTTTTTACTATCAAGCACTAAGAATAGTCGAGCGTTGCTGTCCTACTGACAGCTCTTGTTTATTTTATCACTGTCATTAAGCATCATCCTCATCAACAGAGTTGAAAATAGTTTGTAACAGCCACTTATATTTTGTACTTGTGCTGTATCTTAAAGCTGTTATAACAATTGCAGTGATTGGTGTTCTTTGAATTTAGTGTAACTAGAGGTAACTGTAAATCACTGTAGCAGTCATTGTGAAAGTAGCTGTTGTAGTAATGGTAACGTTTGTGATGAAGTGATAGCTGTTACAGTTACAGAATTATAATATCTGTCATATTTTGCTGTTCAGATTGGAATATTCGTCCCTACGGGACCCGCCCATGGGTGTGTTCCAGAAGGACAGATATTCTGATCCTTCAACCGAAAACATGTGTCAGTTATTTTTTCTTGCATAATCTACCATATTCAATCATATTTTAAATACTTTATCTTAATAAAACAACTTTCCATGGAAATTAATGTCATTACACCCGTAACTAATTTCTTATAACTGCGTATGAAATTACAACTTCATTCCATTCGGCAAAGTCATATCATCCTTAGAATGCCATTGTATAGCATGTGACTCATCTGGCACCCCCCATGATAGATGAAATTTCAGGAATGGGTAAAATAGTGGTCTTAGTAGTCACTTTCACTATCATTGCTACATAATCTTCAGTTAATACTACTACTATGTGATAGTAAACTGAAGATAGTCTGTAGCTAAGTAAAGGAAGCTATGTGGTTGACTATTAGCTGAAGATACTGTAGCAGCAATAGTGATGTAGTGGTAATTATTGATAATTTAGTGGTTGTAGTACTAAAGCAGTGATAGTGATACAAATGTAAGTATTAAAAGTGTAATCAAAGAAGTATATTTCATGTAGTTTGCTGTTGATACTGTAGCAGTTATATTGATAGTATTGAGAGACTAGTGGAAATGTTAGCTGTGAATACTTCGGCATTGATAGTTTGGATTGTTTGTTTTGTCACCTGGACACTGTAAAGGTTACATGGCAACTTTCCAGCGTAAAATGGTAAAGGAAGACCATCATGCACTATTTCAGGCACATTTGGGACACCTAAGTATAACCACCATCCTAGTTGTATACTTTCTCAAATGAAAGAATATAAAGTTCCTTATGTAATTTGAACCCACAGTAGAGAGGGAGAAGTGTTTTGAAGCTGGCCATCTTAACCAATTTACTATGGGATCCTCTAGAAGTGATAATAATAGTAGTGTTACACTTGTGTTAGCTGTTGATACTTTAGCAATGACAGTTATTGTAGAGTTAGACTTGAAGAATTTTTAGCTGTTGATACTGCTACAGTGATTTCTTTCAGTTAGAATTGTGGAATTGTTAGCTGGAATTGTTGCAGTGACATTGATTGTAGAGTTGGACTTGTGGCATTGTTGCATGTTGATACTGTAGCAGTGACATTGATTGTAGAGTTGGACTTGTGGCATTGTTAGCTGTCGATACTGTAGCAGTGACAGTGATTGTAGAGTTGAACTTGTGGAATTGTTAGCTGTCGATACTGTAGCAGTGATGGTGATTGTAGAGTTGGACTTTTGGCATTGTTAGCTGTTGATAATGTAGCAGTGACAGTGATTGTAGAGTTGAACTTGTGGAATTGTTGCATGTTGATACTGTAGCAGTGGCAGTGATTGTAGAGTTGGACTTGTGGAATTGTTAGCTGTTGATACTGTAGCAGTGATGGTGATTGTAGAGTTGGACTTGTGCAATTGTTAGCTGCTGATAATGTAGCAGTGACAGTGATTGTAGAGTTGAACTTGTGGAATTGTTGCATGTTGATACTGTAGCAGTGACAGTGATTGTAGAGTTGAACTTGTGGAATTGTTAGCTGTTGATACTGTATCAGTGACAGTGATTGTAGTGTGCGACTTGCGGAATAGTTGCATGTTGATACTGTAGCAGTGATAGTGATTGTAGAGTTGGAATTGTGGCATTGTTAGCTGTTGATAATGTAGCAGTGGCAGTGATTGTAGAGTTGGACTTGTAGAATTGTTAGCTGTTGATACTGTAGCAGTGGCAGTGATTGTATAGTTGAACTTGTGGCATTGTTGCATGTTGATACTGTAGCAGTGACAGTGATTGTAGAGTTGAACTTGTGGAATAGTTGCATGTTGATACTATAGCAGTGACAGTGATTGTAGAGTTGAACTTGTGGAATTGTTAGCTGTTTATACTATAGCAGTGACAGTGATTGTAGAGTTGAACTTGTGGAATTGTTGCATCTTGATACTGTAGCAGTGACATTGATTGTAGAGTTGGACTTGTGGAATTGTTAGCTGTTGATACTGTAGCAGTGGCAGTGATTGTAGGGTTGAACTTGTGGAATTGTTAGCTGTTGATACTGTAGCAGTGACAGTGATTGTAGAGTTGAACTTGTGCAATTGTTAGCTATTGATACTGTAGCAGTGACAGTGATTGTAGTGTTGGACTTGTGGAATAGTTGCATGTTGATACTGAAGCAGTGACAATGATTGTAGAGTTGGACTTGTGGAATTGTTAGCTGTTGATACTGTAGCAGTGGCAGTGATTGTAGAGTTGAACTTGTGGAATTGTTAGCTGTTGATACTGTAGCAGTGGCAGTGATTGTAGAGTTGAACTTGTGGAATTGTTAGCTGTTGATACTGTAGCAGTGGCAGTGATTGTAGAGTTGAACTTGTGGAATTGTTGCATGTTGATACTGTAGCAGTTACAGTGATTGTTATTTGGTTTTACATTAGAATTGAAGAACATAATTCCTTCCAGTATCTGTTTTAGTGATTATCTTATGGTAATCAACTAAAACTTCTGTTTATGATCACAATTACACAAAAAATCCATTATTTTAGAAACTGAATGCAATAATAAATATGTAGAAACCTAAATTAGTCTTAGAATCTTATAAACTTTAATATTATTTTTCTTTAAGATGAAAGTATCTGGTTAATATGGTCGAATGTCACTTATTTATCAGGCAAGTTTTAAATGACCATTTACTGCGAAAAAGGTCCAAGTGAATTTTTTTTTTAAATTTAAATTATTTTCTTTCCAATTCTATATTCAGAATAGTAAGTAATGATTAAACTTATTCTGTATTGAGCATTTCTGTCTAAATAGGGTGTTTATTTCCTGTTTTCCGTCACTTAGACTTTTTTCGCATTTACCAGATTTGTGATATTTTGACAAATATTGAGTGCGAAAAAAGTCTAAGTACATTTTTACAAATATAATCTTTTTCTTTCATTTTTTTTTTCAAGTAATTGTTTTAAATGTACAATATAACTGACTTTCATTTCAGAGTACACAAATGGTAATTATATATATAACCTGAAAAAAACAGGACAGTTTTTTGTCTCTCCTGAAAAATTTACAGATATGCACTTAGACTTCTTTCGCTTTCACCCCTCGAAATACAAACCTTAAAGCTATGTCATAATGGATTAGCTTATATCAAAATTATTTCTATAAAAAAATTGAAAGTACAAATATTATAACATTGAAAATACAAGTAAAATTTAATACAAACCCTGCTTTAAGAACAAACAGGAATAACACAACAGGGATAAGTTTTAACAAGTCGTAGGCCAAGAATAATCCAACACCTCTCAAAATTTTGGCTACAATCAATAATCCAATATACACTGCTGCCCTGAAATTTAACATAATACATGTACTTTAATATAACTTTTGAGAATAAATGTATTACCACGTGTATGTGTTCATATTGTACAATTTTTAGGTAAAACAAATAGTATTATACACCAAAAAATTTAACAAAGAAATAATACTGAACAAAATCATATATATTTTTAACATTTGATTGCACAACTTTAACTTACTGGATAGTTTTTACATATTATATAATTTCCATACATGACATAATTACTGCTAAAATTGAAAGTGAAAATACTCAAAAGATGGCACTGCATAAAGAAAAAAGTTTTCAAAAGTTTTTTTATTATTTCTTTATTTACTAACATTAAAACTTTAAAACATATCATATAAAGGATACATGTAATTTTGTATGTTCTTTATACTATAAACTCTGTTTTCCAAACTTGGTTATATCTACAAGTATCTTAAGCACTTGGGGGTCTCTAAAGGGAGGCAACAAAATTTATTGAGCAAACTTCATATAGTACCATCTAAAAATGCTACAAACCAAGCTTGAAATGATACATTATTATGAATCAAAAGAAGTCATTTAAAGGCATGGACTATTCCTGTGTTCAACAGGCACTTCACACCTAAAGGTAGGATTGCACATAATATAAAACATAAATTTTGCAATTTAAATATTTAAATTTATAATTATATTTTTATAGAATTAATATCAATGTTGTGAGTAAAGTACACACAAAAATTACTGATTACTAAAACAGATTGATTCTACATTCTTTTGTCTCATTTTAACTGGTGTTTAAATGAATTTACTGACCGTCAACCTGTAAAGAACATCAAAGATGCCATTGACTTTACAAGATGCACACATAACATTATCGAGCTATTTACGCGTGCTCCTGTTGTGTATTAAATATTTATATGAAAGTAAATTTACATGGTCGATGTGATGTTGCTTATAGTTACTGTCAAATATGGAAAGATCAATTCAGGGTGTAAACTTAAGTCTTTTTTTTAAATTGCTAATTAAAGTGGCAGGTGTCAATTATAATGCTCAATTAATTTTGATGTTTCACTTTACATTAGCGAATTTGAAGGCTCCGATGGATCTGCATATCAATTTTCATGTCACATGCCTGTTCTAGTCAAAATATATTGATGTGCCAAAGCTTGATTCTGAGATATTTTTGTTCTGTGTGCAGAATCTTGCTTTTACTTATAGGCGCGATATTGCCCAGACACAAAAATAGCACAAAATCCTGTTGCGCAGTACAATTAGTTGCACTAATGTCTGTTCATGCAGTTAGTAAAAAAGCATGGCAAAGTTGATTTCAGTTTGACATTAACATGGTGAAGCTTTAGGCAACTGAGTTGCTCACATCGTCAAGTTGCTAGAACCCTGGGACATTGACAGCAGGAACTTGAAATAGAGTGTGGAGTTATAGATCTAAAAATGTAAAAAAAAGAAATGTAGTTGCAACAACAAAAAGAGTTAATCATACGTTGACGAAGGTCCTCTATAAATGGCATGCTTTGGTAAAATATTGTCTCCGTAGTCTGCCATATCTTGTTTTATGTTGAACTAACAAGGATCAAGTTGAGTAGTGATCGGTTGTGGCCATTATTTTGGATATTATTCTACGGTCACATTTGCGATTGTCTCCATCTTTCATAATAATAATATCAAAACTGATTCAAATTTACATGTTTAAATTAAGGTTACAGTATACTATATCGGGACTATAATATCATTTTATTTGAAAAACATAAATCAGCCGAAATGTTGTCACTTGTCAGTCTGTACCGGAAACGGAAACAGATTTGCAGTTAGACTGGATACAAATTATAAAATATGAACTACAAGCAAGATAGTCCAAGTTCACATTTTGTCGTTAATTTATTAAACCGTATTATAGGTGCCATATATTGCAAAGAAATTTGCAGATCTGATGAATAGTAAAACAACAATTCACATTTTATAAAAAAATCCTTGCTTTGTTTTGTGATTTTTATGGAGATGAGGTGCTTTGTAGGATCAAGGGCAAACCTGGTAGTCAGACTATTATCTCCCTTTAATACCAGTTCCTTCCCTGACGGTTCTCTCCCTATTTTGGAAAAGAACCGTCTTCATATTTGCAAATAAGCAGACAGTTCCTCCCCTTTTTTATTTTTGTTAATACATAATTTCTTAAGTATTTAGATGCTTAAAAATGGGTAATTTATTTATTAATTGATATAAATTAGGAAAAAAACTATTTAAGTATTTAGATGTTGAATAAATACGTAAGTTTATTTTTAATTATTATAAATTAGAAAAAGATATTTTATTGAAGTACATAACGTATTGTGATGTTTAGTAAATTGATAAGATTATTAATTATAAGTTGATATAGATTAGAGAAATAAATATTTTATTGAAGTATTCAGATGTTGAATACATTGGTAAGTTTATGATCAATTGATAGAAGTTGGAAAAAATATTTTTAGTATAATTGTTCGGATTTTCTTATTTGATCTAATGTGTACGTTTTAAGGTGTTTAGTGATTGAAAATAATAAATGAATTATTTACTTGGTCAGGATAATCATTAGATAAGATATAAATTGTTGTTCTTTTTTTCTTAAATAATACAATTTATAAGAATAAATGATTAATGAATTTTAATAGCTAAATTTAATGGAGAAAGGATGCTGTTAAGTATTAGCTGCCCAGAATTGATACAATCCCATCCCCGTCCTTTTCCCGTCTCGTTTTCCTAACTCCTGCGTTTTGTTCGAAGTTGCATTCTAGGGTGCAATCTAGGTTTTGCAAAACCTTATGTTGAAATGTACGGCCTTACCCTTCTTGCTTGTTTCATGTTAGTAGCTTTTTTTCCACACCAAACCGGTACCTTGCTTTAAAAACAACTTCACAGTAAAATGACCTGGGTCAATTCAAAAAGGCAGTGGTCAAGATACAGTAATTGACATATTTTGTTTCACTTTTAATTTTTTCTTCACCCTTACGTTCGTTCGCTTAGCTCAATAGGGAAAACACCGAATTATTAATCAAGAGGTTGCTAGCGAGGCAGTTGATCTAGGACCTTCAGTTTAATGGTCATTTGTCTCTTACTACTGGCTTGGAAATCATGTGGTGGAATAAGTAGTTTGTCATTTGCAAAGAAATGGTAATTACAGGTTAAAACCAAAGAAAAAGTGGTTTATTTAAACCGCAACTACGCCTGAGAAACTACTGACATATTTTTATTTATTACAACAAAAAATCAAACCACTTCATAACTTTTACTATGCAATGACATTACAAAAAATAAAAACTCTTGAAATTGCATGCTTGAAATTGTTGACTAAAGTGCAAATATACATATATATCGTTCACAAAAATATTTCATTAAGCCATATTTTTAGTAAATGATGAAAAAAATATTTCAATCAACACCTATAAATGAACAAAATATTGACAATAATTGTTTATTGTGTGTGGGGTGGGGGTGAGTATTTTCTGCCATGAGAAAGTGTTAGATGTGTTAATGTGTTACATACCCGGAGTCTTGACTATCATTCTCCGGTCAGTGTAGTAATAGCTTTCAAGCAGCTGTGTGTTTTTGTTTAAATTATAATAGCCAATTTCCTTGGGTGGACTTATTGAAAAAACTCATGAATAGCCTTTAAGCGTGATGATGATGCATTATGCAAACTTGTTTAAATAAAACATATTTTCTACTGGGGATATGTTATTGAATAGCAATATATAGCGGGTTCTTTCAAAGGGATCTTTTGTATGTCTAACACTTGTATATATATCATTTATCTCTTGTAACTGCAAAAACAGGCTTTCACTGAATTGAACAATTATTACTGGACTCTTTTTATGAAATTTTAAAGATTGAATCATAAAAAAGTACTGATATCTTATTCATAGATATGCTTTATAATACATATATACTATATATATACCATCATCAATACAGGTATAGAAGAAAAAAAAGGCAAGCAGTTATTACCCTAATTGCATTTAATAAAATGTACCAGGAAACATATTGAAAATGTATATTTTAATATGTGCACCTTAAATTTTCACCAGAGGTCAGCATTTTCATATGCAAAAATTTATTTATTTAAATTGCTGAGGACGTTCGACGGTTATTTTGTACTTCATATTTCCGCCTCCCCGAGGCATCGACTTGCAGCGCATTTTCCTGATCTATAAAATTTGTTGCCTAGTATTTGATATTACTTCTTATATTACCAGAGAACACAGGAACCAATTAAAATTCAAATCATTTTGTAGTTTTAAAAAACTTGTTTTAATATACCGCAAGGATTGCATGCACAGAGTTCTTCCAAAATTGAAACCTGTCAATACAGTAAAAACTCTGAAAACCGGATCCTGCTCGGTCTTGGCCAAGCGTCCACTTTTCAGAAGTTTTACAGAGTCATTTATTATTCGTAACAATGTGTTTGTACATGTACTTAAATCCTTTTGTATTTATTGTTCAAGCCTCCTGTCTCAGTTACATTGTATTTGGGTTTTCTTTGTGTGTGTGTTTTTTTTTTGTTTTTTTTTCTTGCATCAAATGTCTGACTAATTTCTTTTAGTCATAAATGGAATGAAGAATTCTGAAATTAAAATGACGTAGATAATTATCTAAAATTGAACTTTAATTGGCTAATTAAATATATTTAATAGAATTTATTCTAACACAATTAATCAATGCAAAAATTAGATGTGTTGCAGATTTTTTATTCTAAGATCGATTTTTTATTTAACAAAAATTAGCGAATCTTTTTTTTTCTATTTATGTAAAGAATAACTAACTATTCTGTTCCCCGTTTATAAAACTGAATGAGTTACTTAGAAAATCATACATTTACAGCAAAGGATCATTTATTATCTGAAATCAACATAAATACCATTATTGACCATTAGTTAATAGTTGAACAAGTTACCTGCTGGGGTTATTATGTTTTACTCCACATTAGAATACCCAGAAAATTTGTTGAAAAAAAATTGTCTTTTCGGTTTTCAGAGGATATTTCATGTCTGTCATGGAAAATTTATATGCATATCGCGTTATATATGTTACCTGAGAAAATCACTTCGTTCTTGAAAGACATTTAAAGAATCTTTATCTTAAATCTTAATAAAGTAAAACTGGTAAAACTTTTTCTAACTATTTCAAACTATCTAAAGATTAAACCCGAGCAATTGTAATTCCATTAATACACATAGACCTTTAAAAAAATTTGATCTTATTGATCAGACGAAATATTGTTGCTAATTGAAAAACTTTAGTTCAATAAAAGAATTGCCAGTCTAAAATACATACGTCATCGAAACCTGTGTAGATCATGACGTCAAAGAACGGAATGGCGTGAAGTATCGACGTGGTTTTCCAACTTTCGATAAACTATTCAGTGTCCTGTAGGTAACAGGACCCATAATTGAGCCGATCTTTACAGAGAATGTAGCACTCTTATTATAAGAACATAATTCAATTAAGATCAAAGATGAGTGTAGACGCGTATGGACCAAATTCTCAAACTCTGACCTTCCTGGATACCGAGGAAGACCTCCTTGGTGCAGATACACAGGGGTCGGACTTTGACTTCACTGACTTTACTCTACCATCACAAACCCAGTCTCAGACTCAAGCTTCTCAGATTGAAACTGGTCAAAGCCAAAGTCAGGTAAAATCACCTTTCTTTTCTGAATAGAAAATAGAAGGTTCATTATTTGGTGGTGAGATTAGCAAATATTATTCAGCTTCAGTTAGAACTTAGAGATCTACATTGTTAAGTGAATAAGTCCGTTTCAGTTGCTCTGCTTTATTAATTAAATTACAAGCAATTTAAGAAAACCATGTTAAGACATTGTCATGGATAAATGACTAGCCATTTATTCTTAGGTAGTTCTAGTGAAATGAGGGTTTTATAGTAGGCGGGGTACCAGTGTAACGTGTACCGAGCGGATGTACAACGAATATATAATAATTTTTTCTTTGGGCTACCTGCCGTTTGATTAGATACAAATGATTTTTAAATAATCAAATATTATAAATAATCAGCTTGAATTAACACTCCGAAATACACTATTAAATTCTCAAAAAGGCTCAATATAGTAAAGATGATGTTTACAATATAACACTATAAAATTATTGAAAACTATAGATATCACGCTGCAACCCGATAATTTCCTATAGTCCAGCAACTACCTCCCTATCTATGAAGCGAGGCTTCTATTTAGATAGAAAGATAAGTTGCTGGTAGGGATTTACAACAAAGTTCCAACTATACAAAGCTTATTCGTTTTAAATCTACCTCTGGATTTTTAATACCTATATGTTACCAATTCCCTGATAGCGAGGCTTTCAGGAAATGTGGTGGTCTATAAGTACCCAGAGTCAAATACAATTTCACAAACTTTAATCTATCGACACTATATCCATGAAGCTAGGCTTCAATTGGATAAACAAGGGTATTTAGTTTTGGCCAATTCTTCTTTTCTACCTATGAAGCTAGGCTTCAGTTAGGTAGACGAAATTATCCTCTATGTATGAAGCGAGGCTTCAATTACATAAAGTAACCTGGTCCCGGTGAATTCCTCTGCAGACTGAATAATTTTTGCTCAAATCGCCGTATTTATACCTGCTGAGATGATCGCTCAAGCATGACTTATTTTCATTGGTTGATTAGAATGATCATAATCACTGAAACGTTTATTACATTATATGATATCAAACGTTTATTGAAAATACGTATACCAAACGTATATTGTAAAGTACCGTAAACTAAAATACATTGTCGCAATATAAACAAATGACATAATAGTTAAGTAAGTTACACAAAATCATTTTAGCAAACGATAATCTTTAATAAAAACAAGCTGAGTAAAAATGTCTAAACGTTACACTACCCACGCCTCCGTTTTACATGCGCCCCGCATGAACTTACAAAATATTTTAAACTGCCACTAACAACTTAAATTGGCATGCACAAACTTCGAACTTTAGATTCCGTTTCTTTATGTATTCTTCTACAGTGCTGTCTTATATAAGATTTCTTTTTAAATTTCATTCCACAGAAATGACACATCACTCGGTTACAACCTTTCGGACCTTTACATTCTATTTTCATCTTTTTACCATTGACTGTTAACTGACTATTGGGAACATCTATTACAATACTTCTTGTTGTCATAAAATCTAAACCTAATATTGCATCTCCCTCTATGTTCGAAACTATGAAAGGATTTGTTGAAATTTCATCATTCAATTTGATATCTAGATAAGTCCTACCTTTTATTTCAAAAGGTTTTCCAGATGCATTTACAATGTTTGCATCAAACGGTTCTAAATTAACTGGAAACTGACATCTATCTATAAAACTTGAAGAAATAATTGAAAGTGTTGCACCAGTATCAATTAAACAATTAGCTTTGATGCCATTTATTGTAGCTTCGACAAATAATCCTGAACCATACGAATTAGACGAATTTTCACAATCTTTCTCTAACATATTAATTTTTCGTTTTGATCTACTAACGAATTCTCGACAATTGTATTTATTATGACCTTCCTTACCATACTCATAACAATTCAAACTATTTGTATTTGACCTTTTAGGAAATGTTCTTGAAGACATGCTTTTACTTTGATTTCGCAGGTTTTCTTGGTTTCTTTTATCAAAAGTTTGATAGTTATTTTGGCGTCGAAACATTGATAACATATTCTTCATTTCCTCTACTAATTTTATCAGGCTATCTAACTTGTCATCTTGACTTTTCGGACTATCATATTCGTCAGAATTTAATTTTCTCATATAACCATGGGTTTCACAGGATTTTCCTTCCGCTCTGTTGAAAGCCTCAAGCTCAACAGCGTGTCTTACTGCTTCATTCAAGCTTGTAGGACGAGCTTCTTTAATTCTAAGCCTCATATCCGAGTTAACCAAAGAATCTATGAATTGTTCTTTCGCTAAAGTTTCTTTCACATCTGATGGTGCTGAAGGGTATGCTAAATTAGTCAAACGTCTTATGTCCTGCCCCATCTCAGATAAAGATTCTGTAGCTTTTTGTCTTCTTTCTCTTAGTTGAGCTCTATATAATTCAGTTTGATTGGGTGGTGAAAACCTTTCTTGTAATGCTAATACAAGTTCATCATAATTCGGTGATTTGCTTGTCAGATTGCCAAATACACCCTGAGCTTGACCTCTTAATAAAACAGATAAATAAAGACCTTTTTCTTTGTTTGTCCATTGATTTATTTCTGAACATGCTTCAAAATGCGCTTTATAGTCTATCCATGAGCTAGTTCCATCATACGTAGCTGGCTTCATCATAACACTTCGTTCTGAATTTGAGTTTATAGGGTCACGTTTTATTTCTGTTGAATTTGAAGTATCCATTTCTATGTTGTTGTGTAAGGACTCTGTTTTATTTGCTGGTTGTGATTTTCTCTTTCGAAAAGTAACAAATCGATCTCTCGGATAATTTAAATCAGAGCCACAAGGAGATTCCGTAAACCTTTGTTTTTCAGCTAATGGGGTTAAGACACTTTCTATTTTAAAGGGCTTTTTATCTGGGGTCGGTGGTAATAAACGTCGCCTTCTTTCTGATAGAGGTGTTGCGTATTGTCTTGTTAAAAATTTCGGTGTTGACGTTTGTTTGTCTTCATAGTTTGAGTCATATTGATTTTGAAAAGATAACTGCATACTGTCAATCTGTCTTTCAAGTATTGATATTTCATTCTGCAATTTCAAAGCTTCATTTTGGTGCTGTAATTCTCTAAGTTTTTCGTGTAACAATGTCAGCTCATTGCTATTACTAAAATCTTTACTCTCAGCCATTTTTAACAAATATCTATTTTAATATGTGGGACCAGATAATGGTGTTTTTATCTATATTATCCCACCGCTGCCACCAATTTTTGTAACGTGTACCGAGCGGATGTACAACGAATATATAATAATTTTTTCTTTGGGCTACCTGCCGTTTGATTAGATACAAATGATTTTTAAATAATCAAATATTATAAATAATCAGCTTGAATTAACACTCCGAAATACACTATTAAATTCTCAAAAAGGCTCAATATAGTAAAGATGATGTTTACAATATAACACTATAAAATTATTGAAAACTATAGATATCACGCTGCAACCCGATAATTTCCTATAGTCCAGCAACTACCTCCCTATCTATGAAGCGAGGCTTCTATTTAGATAGAAAGATAAGTTGCTGGTAGGGATTTACAACAAAGTTCCAACTATACAAAGCTTATTCGTTATTAGTATACCTCTGGATTTTTAATACCTATATGTAACCAATTCACTGATAGCGAGGCTTTCAGGAAATGAAGTGGTCTATAAATACCCAGAGTCAAATACAATTTCACAAACTTTAATCTATCGACACTATATCCATGAAGCTAGGCTTCAATTGGATAAACAAGGGTATTTAGTTTTGCCAATTCTTCTTTTCTACCTATGAAGCTATGCTTCAGTTAGGTAGAGGAAATTATCCTCTATGCATGAAGCGAGGCTTCAATTACATAAAGTAACCTGGTCCCGGTGAATTCCTCTGCAGACTGAATAATTTTTGCTCAAATCGCCGTATTTATACCTGCTGAGATGATCGCTCAAGCATGACTTATTTTCATTGGTTGATTAGAATGATCATAATCACTGAAACGTTTATTACATTATATGATATCAAACGTTTATTGAAAATACGTATACCAAACGTATATTGTAAAGTACCGTAAACTAAAATACATTGTCGCAATATAAACAAATAACATAATAGTTAAGTAAGTTACACAAAATCATTTTAGCAAACGATAATCTTTAATAAAAACAAGCTGAGTAAAAATGTCTAAACGTTACACCAGCTAGAACACAAGTCACAACACATCTAGTTTAGCAGACCTAAAAGAAGGATGACAGACTGTTCTCTCCCTTACCAGTTCCTCCCACTGACGGTTCTCTCCCTAACCGTTTCCTCCCCTGAAGGTTCTCTCGCAAATTTGAATAATGTAATAATAAAAATAAGAATGGGGAGGAACTGTCTGCTTATTTGCAAATATGCAGATGGTTCTCCTCCAAAACAGGGAGAGAACCATCAGAGAGGAAACGTCAGGGGAGGAACTGGTAAGGGAGAGAAAAGTCTGACTACCCTAAAAGATAAACAAAATAACATAACACACATTCTGCCTCCCCGCAGTATTTAATCGTAGATGCGGGTGCTTTAATGGCAGCATAATATTATGATTTATGAATCATTTTAAAGATAATTCAATTTATTTTCTAGAACACTATTCGTTTTTCTTCACTTACCGATAGTTTTCAAGCAAATCGTCGGCGAGTATCGGGCGTCATAACTTTTTTGTTTGTAAACATATTTAAATGACGAAAATTCCGGAATGAAATGTAAACATATTTCTGATTGGTTGCAAAAAATCATGAATATTAATTAGCAACAAATGACCCGCAAATAAGGTCATGCGGCATACATGTGACAAGCGCGTGTCCACAATCGGGTTTTGTAAAATCGGCCGAAAATACACCTGTATATTAAGATTAACTGATAATGATTAAAATGCATATTATGCATGAATAATGAATTTTATATCATTTTGAAGACAATTTATCACTGATTTATTTCATATAACTTTTATAATGGTCAATATTAAAATTTATTGTTTTACAATCAATTTTATGAACACACTATCGATTTTTACGCTAATTTCTTAAGCTATAGGCTTATCAGTTGGGGTTGCTACCCCCACAACCCAACTTTTGACATGATTCAATTAAAAATTATAGCCAACTTCAGAATAACACTTCAGAATAAAAAGCATAGTCACACTCACTTAGTAGCCCACAAAACTATATTCTATCAGAAAATACTGACAGAGGTTCATAGTTTTTGTGGCAATCATCATGTTGTCTGGGATTTAATCAGCTGCTGTCACAGCTGTGTCACGTGCATTATGTTGCTGTAGATGACGACACATGTCATACATGATCAGACATGGTGGCATGGCATTTTCCTTAAAGATAACTTGAAGTTGTGTCCTGTCTAATAGTTTAATTTACATAGTACTATCTGCAAGTTTTTTTTTTTGTTCTTTTGCAGGTTTGTCAAAGCCATACAAATGCTTGTAAAAATTAAGTTGTATCTGACCAACAAGAAAAGTCCACATACACTCAGAGGCACTTATAACCCAGACACTGACGGACTTTGTTCAAATTTGGACTTTACAAAATTCAACATATCATACTTACTACTTGGAATTATATTTACAATTCATCAATAAGAAAATAGAAAAAATAGCAAAACAAATAGGCTACTGTTAAATAAAAAAATCACAAAATGACTGTAAAAATCGTAACACAATGAACAGTCTCTGAATCCAATTAAATCTGTATGTTTACCAGTCCTAACACTTTGTATGTCCTCCCAATTGGCTATAACAAAGTGAACACCTCTGCCTCACAGTTCTCTATTTCTAAATAAGGGCTTGCTTGTGTTCCAGCAAATTGCGAGGAGCTTTTGACTGCTTTCTCACACGCCTGTTCAATTCAGCCAAAAAGTGTGATGTTTAGATCTGGTGACTTGGAATGCAGGAGTTGCTTGAACTCGAGGAAGCACTTATTCAGGAATGAAGAAATATCCCCAAGCCTTCACTACGTCATAACCATGGGACAGGTGTTTTCACTTTGTTTTAGCCATGGGATGACACAGAAAGTATTAGAACTGTTTATTATACAGAATCAGTTGGATTTAGAGACTTTTCATCGTGTTACGATATTTACAGTTATTTTGTGATTTTTCATTTTGCAGTAATATATTTGTTTTGTAATTTTCTCTATTTTCTTGCTAATGAATTGGAAATAAAATTCTAGGAAACAAGAATAATATGTTGAATTTTGTATGTTAAAAAACTGAACAAATTCCGTTCACAAATAACCAAGTTATACCGAAAAATGTAAGTGTCGGGTTAAAAGTGCCTCTGAGTGTAGTGTTCCAAATAAGTACAGCTTTTAAACAGAATTGTTTTCAGGGAATGTCGAGGAGGGCAAATTTGAAAGTAAAACAAGAAATGTTGGGGAAATTAAAAACATTGGCGAACTTGCACTTGTCAGCTGGGCAATCATCAAGAAAAATTAGATAGCATCTCATGATCTGAAGGTTCACAAAAACTGTAGCCATAAATATTGTGAACTTGTTTAGTGACAGGTGTATAAAAAAGAAGAAAAAAAAGAAAATAACAGCACAATAATGTACAAATATGCAACATTTTAAGAATGCCATCTTCACTCTTGGAATTAGGGAAAAAGCATTAATAAATGTCAAATTTGGGGCAGGATTATTTTACATTATATAACAATAGGCCTATGAGAGACCCCTTCCCTATTTAAATTCTCCTCAAATCATTTAGATTTCAAGAAAAATCTTAACTTACACCATTTTGAAAAATTGACCTTTAGAATAACAACTTCAAGTTAAAAGGGGGCATATCTTTGCCAAAATTTAATGGTAACCTGCCTAGTTAAAAAGAGCTGTCAGAAGGATAATGCAGTTAACTATTTTTAGTGCCTAATAGTAAAACAACAGCTAATTTAATGTACAAATGGGCATGGTATGTAGTCAGTAGAGGTGCAACAATACCTTTCGATGAATCGGAAACCGGTTTTATGAACGTCGATTTTTCTTCTTCCAATACTGTACATAACCCACTCTGGGGCATTAACGTACAGGGTGTATGTATACGTGTTCTGCAGCGAATAAGTGCAGATTTAAAAGAACATGTTAAAAATAAAATCAACTCCGGCATGTTAGGGCCCCATGACTAGTCCTCCCTTTAAGGCCTCTGAAGGATTCAATTTCTGATACCAAATGTAACAATTTCGATTTGATTCCCCACCCAAAAATAAACACAGAAAAAGAGTTTTAGTCTTTCCCTTTCACTCTCTATCACGTTACATACAATTGGTCAATTAAAACTCAGTCATCCAATCGGTGAGAGCATAATGTTGTATTTTAGGCAAACAATTCAAAATGGCTACCAACATCAATGTTGATAAAATTAAACTAAAAATTCCACCTGGGATTTGGGATCACTTTGGGTTTCGGGAAGGCCAGGACTTATATAAACTACTTGCAAGGAAAATGTTCATTTTTTAGACTTCCATAACAAATAGGAACCTTTCTGCTAAGGCCACACTTATAATATTCTTTTTTGCTTGATTATTCTCCTTTTCATCATTTGACTCTGTTTTTAATAAAAAAAAATGATTTAAGAGATCCATTTCTCAGAATCCATTGCACTTACTGATCACTTTCTTTTCTTATCTTTTTTCCCATCAAAGCAATGGAAATTTCTGTCTGTCTGCCAGCTTTTTTTCAAAACTATTTTTGGCGAGAAATCTTCAGTACAAAATCAATCTAATTTCTTTTCTTTCTTAATTTCAGGCTAATGAGGTTCCAGTACAGAATGGTATTGATGGAACAGTTACAACAATCACCCAGGGTGTTGGTGAACTACAGTTTGAAGAAGAAGAAGAAGAGGAGCAGTTTTATATGAAAGATCTACCCAAACATGCTTGCGCGTTAGTATCTTCCTGTTGTTCACACAGTGGTTTCAATGTACTGTATGGTTCAAGTCTTAATACATGTATATTTAAAATGTTTGAAACATATGTATGAAAGTTGTTTTATTGGGGACTATTTACTATGTTTCTCATCCTTGTTGAAGTCGAACATGATCTACATGTATATTATTGATTTTCCTCTACACGATTTAAGTGTATCATATTGAAAAGATAGTATGGCCTGAAAGAAAGAACAGGTATGAAATGGTAAAGAGTCCATGTATATTTTATAACTTACTTCCCTTTATTGTATGGCGTTGACTCTATGACAGCATAGAAAAATATGACATGTTCTTTTTGCAAGTTCTTATTCATTGCAAATTACCTGTTACTTTTATATTAAAGTGTGATAAACACACAAATTGAAAAAAAAAGAAGAAGAATCTACATTATTTAATTAATAAAACCTTTATTAGTCATCATATAGATGTTAAGTGAAAAGACTTTATTTGTTTTGATCATGCTATGATAACTATATATGTTTTTATGTATTTCAGATATTGTGGTATACATGACCCAGCATGTGTTGTACATTGTAACACAACAAAGAAATGGTTCTGTAATGGTAGAGGTAATACATCTGGCAGGTATGTATGTCTTTTTATTATATACTTATAAATGAAATATTGAGAAATATTGATGAAATAAAATGCGTATTTTCATTTTCCGTATTTTCACTGTAAAAATTTATTTTTCACTGCAGTGAAACATATTTTCCGTATTTTCACTGGTGTCTTGCCGGACTACTTTCTTTTAAGTTCTACCAGTACACAAAATTTAAGGGAAAGTTTTTCAAATTTTATCGCAAAAAAGAGAAAAATGTACATAATAAACAGAAAATTCAAGTTTTTTCTATAAATACATGATTTATTTTCATCTTGTGGCATGAAAATTACCATATTTCACTCGTGGCTACCGCCACTCATGAAATATTTATTTTCATACCACTCGATGAAAATAAATCATGTATTTATAGAAAAAACTTGAATATCCTCTATATATTTTACACAATATATTAGTTAGTTTTATAAGGGCAGTTCTATTGTAAAAAAATAACTGTAGATTTTAGCTGTGGGATATTACAATAAAACAACTAGTCAAGACTCTTCTATCTGTTAATACAGTTTATATTTAAGATACCTATCTTTCTAATTAACTATAATTAAGGATAAATCATGTGAAACACTTGATCAGCCTATCACAAAATATTCTCAAGACTTGTTTGATATATGCGATGTGAGTTTTGGTGACATTTATGAAGCCTTTACATGTTTTTTGCAATTGTAAAAAAAAGAGTATTTTTTTAAAAAAGGGGACAAGGAATTGACTCTAATATTACCTAAATCTGGGGGGGTTTAATTCCCAGGGGACTTTGAATTTGTATGCATAGTTAAAGAACGTAGTGGTTTACTCGGGTCCCTGCAGTGCTAGATTAAAAGGTTTCTTACATTTGCCATTCCCTTTAAACGGGGGGTCAATTTGATTAAAATAATTAAAAAAAACAAAAAAAAAAACAATGGTATTTCTAAGAAAATGTTACATTGGGACCACCTCATCGATTAATAGTTTAAGCATTCACTTCAGTCAATATTATGAATTTAATGTAACTTGTTTTGATTTACAGTCACATAATTAATCACCTTGTGAGAGCAAAGGCTAAGGAAGTGACCCTACATAAGGATGGACCACTTGGAGAAACAGTCCTAGAGTGTTACAACTGTGCCTGTCGTAATGTGTTTTTGTTGGGATTTATACCTGCAAAGGCAGATTCTGTGGTCGTACTTCTGTGTAGACAGCCATGTGCCACTCTCAGTAACCTGAAAGATATGAACTGGTAAATATTTGAAATTAATTGTATATGATGAGAAATGAGTAGAGTTTGATAATTTGCTACACCTTGAACATTGAATTTAAAATAAACGTTTTATACTATATAATATGTTTTTATTCGCAAAAAGTTACAAACCCATGAGTGTCATGGTATACAATCAATCGTTTTACAAATAAATATATTTTGTATGAAGATGCCTCCATGTTACATGCCTGCTGGGACAGTAGAAATTTTCTTATTAGGTAGTTAACTCAGTAGTGTTATATCAGTGTTGAATCTTGTGTCTGAAAATACAACCTGAGCTATATGGTTTTTTTTTCTCAATAGTTTAAGATGGTAAGTGACATATCACTAGCATTATTTGATGTGATGTAAAACAGCATAAAAAAACAAATTGAAAATGTTTACATATTTTGATATTGTACCAGAATTAAATATTTGACTTTATTAAACAGGGACCCATCTCAGTGGCAGCCATTGATACAAGATAGACAGTTTTTGCCATGGCTAGTAAAGGTACCATCAGATCAGGATCAAATGAGGGCCCGACAGATCTCTGCCCAACAAATTAACAAACTTGAAGAGTTATGGAAAGACAACCCTGAGGCCAACCTTGAAGACCTGGAGAAACCAGGAGTTGATGAAGAACCCCAGCAGGTCCTCCTTAGGTTTGTATATTTTCATATAAACATTGTTTTGTTTACAGAAGTTATAAAGTTGTCTTTGTGTTTGAAAAAACAGATACTGTATGTAAGTACCACAAGTACAATATATCAATTGCATTAAATCTGTTGAAATCTTACTAAATGCTACTTTACTTTGTGGTGATATTAAAATGGTTGGGAATTGTTTAGATTAACCATATAACCACATCGTGGAATCTATTTAGAAACTGATATAACATATAAAAAAAACACAAAAATAAAAGCATTTTATACTAAATGCAGTTTAGTACTTCTTAAGATTTACTGCTTAAATCACTTGATATATTTTGTTAGTGGTATATGATATCTTGAAATTAGCCAAGCAGCTTCATTAGGACATTAACATTGTTTGTGTACCTTTTATATAAACAACAACAAGAAGAACATAGTTTTAAATGCAGCAATTATGAAATACTTTCAGGTATGATGATGCCTACCAGTATCAGAGTATCTTTGGTCCACTTGTCAAGTTAGAGGCAGATTATGACAAGAAACTGAAGGAGTCTCAAACCCAGGATAATATTGTCACCAGATGGGATGTTGGTCTTAACAAGAAGAGAATTGCTTACTTTAATCTACCAAAAGCTAATGATGGTATGTAAGCCTCTTGCATGTGTTCTTTTTGTTCATCTGTACAGTGTACTTGTATTAAGACCAACAGACTATAATAGACATGTCAGACTACTCAAATATATTGATAAATCAAAGATTTAATTTAAGTAACGGGAATATGTGTTTAATAGTTTAATATGAATTAACAGAATCAATCTGAATTTGTAGAATTGTGTAAGTCCTAGCAATAAGTTAGTCTATGTCTGGCTTACATATTGAAAAAGAAAATGTTCACAAATCAATGTATGATGCGGTAAGATAACTTTATCGAGTCTAATAGTCATTTGTCTTTCACTACTTATTCAGACATCATGTTGGATCAGTAGTTGATCACTTCCAGTGAAATTGGTAATTGCTGGTTTCTTACCAATGAAAGACCGAAAATGTGTTCGAATTGGCATAAACATCAAACAAACGAAAGTTAGCTTCAGTGATTTACACCATTACCAGTATTACAGAATTGTAAAATTTAATCCATATATACTTAAAACAAACAAGATACAGATTTTCTATTTACATCACTATATTTTGTAAACAGTCATGAGATGATGTATGTATTTTAGAAATGAAGTTAATGCATGGAGATGAGCTGAGGTTACGTTACATGGGAGAGTTGCATAAACATTGGTCTGGTGTTGGTCATGTCATCAAAATCCCAGACAGTATCCTTTATCTTGACAGTCTTCTTGCACAGTAGCTAAGTCTGTGATGATTCATATTTTTAGGATCAAATTTAGAAATTATCTTTGTTTTTCCTTTTTATATTGTGAGGAGAACTGACACTGAACATTTTATGATTTTATAATAAAAGCTGTTGTTTTTTGTGTGTTTTTTTTGAAGGTTTTGAATTTTTATGCTCATTTTTGCAATGAATTTGTATTGTTTGAAAAGGAGATATTAAGGTGAAGTGTTAAAAGAGCCACACAAATGCCTATTTAATTAAGAAGATAAGTTAAGTATATAGTTGTAGCATTATATAACCTTAACTGGATCAGATCACAGTGATGAGATTGCTATAGAACTGAAGAGTAATGCTGGGGTTCCTACTGAATGTACACACAACTTTGTTGTTGACTTTGTCTGGAAATCTACTTCATTTGACAGGTAAACTTTCGTATCTATTACAGCCATTTTGTTTTCTCAAGTTAAAATATTTCCTGATTATGAAAGCTGCTAGTTATTTATGTCATTTATGAAGTTTATGTTTAAGAGAGCAAACAATTGCATATTTCACTAGTTTTTATGACTAGCAATTCTATATATAAGAAGAAATTATGAAAAGTTTTAATATTCTTTTAATTATAAATTGAATGATGGTTTGTATAAAAACATATATAAAATGTATAATCTATTTATAGAATGCAGTCAGCTTTGAAGACGTTTGCTGTAGATGAGACATCAGTATGGGGATATATCTATCATAAGTTACTAGGTCATGAAGTAGAGGATGTTGTCATCAAATGTCAACTACCCAAACGTTTCAGTGCCCCCAACCTTCCAGAACTAAATCACTCCCAGGTGTATGCAGTCAAAACTGTGCTTCAGAGACCTTTGAGTCTAATTCAGGTACAAACATTATTGACTTATTGTCATTTTCTGATAAGTATGATATAATGTAATTACCTTTATTGTTATGACGATTAATATGTAAATAATTTGATGTAGGCATTTCTTAATAAGTGTAAATTTGATGTAGGCATTTCTTGATAAGTATATGTAATATTAGTCAGAAAGATATGTTATATGAAGTTATTTTGTTTAGCTGGATTAATATAGAAGCAATCGGTTGATCTGATGATTTTCATTGTGAAAAAGCCTTTTATTGACCAACCTGTACTGGTTAAATTTCTAGTGTTTGAGCCTAGAGTTACTAGACCTTGGAATCTGTCTTGATATATGAGGTACTGGAAAGAGTATAACTTCAACATTTTAAGTAGTGATTTTATAGGCATGTTGAAAAAATTCAATGCTTTTTATTTTATGATAGGGCCCACCAGGAACAGGTAAAACTGTGACATCAGCAACTGTCGTGTACCATCTTGCCAAGCAGAGTAATGGTCAGGTGTTAGTATGTGCTCCATCTAATATTGCTGTTGATCAACTTACAGAGAAAATACATAAAACTGGACTGAAGGTTTGTATTTTAATTTCATGACATTTGCCATTTAATCATAACGATTGTTTAATTTAACAAGTGAACAAAAATTTCATCAGTAAAATCATACCAGAAGTGGTCCTTCTATGTGCCAGAAATGATGCAGATGTTCACAAATCTATGACTATTTTATTGTTGGTCAATTTCTGTAAAAATGTCTGCCTACCCTAGTAATTTATATTAGCACATAAGTGTACATGTTCCTTTTATGACCCAGAATATCTTCAATGCTAGTTAAGTGTAGCAAGTTTAGATTTGATGCATTTTCAACTTAATTTCAAATAAACAGAAAATTTTGTGTGTCTTGTATACCGCTGTGTTAAGTCAGACATTGGCCTTAATCTTGCTAATTGATTAATCCTTTCTAAACATTTCTAAAACCAGTAAAGTAATAAATAACCTGATTGTCTAGTCGAATAGTAGCAGGTTAGGTATACTGACTTTTGGTTCATGAGATAGGTTATACCACATGCTGTTCTGTTAAAATATATCTTAAGTTCCAGTCTGTTAAATCAAGTTATTTACATAGAGAAGTTCATACATATATAATCCAGGAACATTTTTATATAGATAACTGAAAAAAAGCAGGACAGCCAATTCAAAAAAGTATTTGAAAATCCAGTAAACAATGTTTTATGTATACATATAAATGGTTCATCATTATTATAAATTTGTTTATTTATAGGTGGTAAGATTGTGTGCCAAGAGTAGGGAGGCCATTGAATCACCAGTGGCATTCCTAGCCTTACATAACCAGATAAGAAACATGGACAGGTATGTAGCCTAGCTACAGTTATATTGTGATTGAAATACTGTTATATAATAGATATATGTCAAGTCTGTATGTGTCAGATCTGAAGAGTTGTACTTCTGTTTTTTGAGTAGAGCTGTACAAGAAATTTGTTGAGATGTTTACCTCCAGTCAATGAATTTTAAGATTTTGAATTAACTAGCCCAAATTCCAGTTTTGAATTTATTCTACTATATATATAACTAAATCTTCTTAAAATTTTCACTGGCCCGAACTATTTTTCACTGGCCATGGGCCAACGGGCAAGTACTAAATTCGATGACTGTACCTCTTTATTTAGGAGAGTAGCCTTACCCTGGAGCTTGCATTGTATAATTCTCACTAATCCAATTGCATAAGTTTTTTGCTTTTCTAATTTATCTTATTAAGCTGCAACAGATGTTTTCCTGTTGTATACATTAATATTCTTTGTTACATAGATTTATAGTATAAGGCAACCTGTGTGAGATATTGAATATATGAACATTTCAGCTTCATTCTATATACTTGATTTTGCATGAAATGACTTATATTTTGGCATTTTAGATCTTTCTCTTTTAAAAAGTTTAGCCTAAAGGGCAACACATTAAGTTTTGTAAGAAAGGCCGAGTTGACTGAACAGAACTAATAATCATGACTTTTACCTGGTTTGCAGTTTACCTGAGCTACAGAAGTTACAGCAGTTGAAGGATGAGACAGGGGAATTGTCATCTACTGATGAGAAACGTTACAGGTCTTTGAAGAAACAATGTGAGAGAGAATTACTCCAGGTATACCATCTTACTCTTAAGAAAATAATCAAAGACTGATTCTGAAAACCTTTTTTTTGCAAGATAACTCTTTCTTTCATAAAATAACAGTCATTATTGAGTTGTTTCCCTTTTACCAACAGATTCCCCTAACCTACCAAAATGATATGAAAGACAGAAAATTATTAAGTTTAACCTAGTTTTTATAAATACTTATATTCATGATATTACAGAATGCTGATGTAATCTGTTGTACATGTGTTGGTGCTGGGGATCCGAGGTTGGCTAAGATGCAGTTCCGCTCAGTACTTATTGATGAAAGCACTCAAGCCACAGAACCAGAATGTATGATCCCAGTTGTCCTAGGATGTAGACAGGTTTGTGTCTTTTATTATTTAACATGATTAATTTTAATACTTCAACTTCAGGATTATAATGACTGGGTTCTATTAGCTATATTTTTCTTAAAACCTCCAGTACACTAGTCTACATCCATCAGTGTATACCCCTCCAAACCTAGGATATGTTGGTTGAGCACTACTTTATAAACAACATGTTACCTCATATTACCCATTTCTGGTTGGTTGCAGGAATGAGATTTGAGAGATGTTAAAGTTTTAAGCTTGCATCAAAATTAAGAAAAATGAATATATTTAAACTAAATTGAATTGAAATATTGTTAAAACTAGTCATAAAAAGTTTTAATGAAATTTAAAATGTTTATCTTGACTTGAGATTTTCAAACCCTAAAGAGGGTACTAAATCATAAAAATGAAATAACATAATGGAATATGACACATAATTTTACAATATAACCATTTTATATTGCTTATTTACTCCATATTGTATTACATGCATTATGTGTTGATATCAAATGATTTTTCAAGAGATCATTTCTTTTGTTTATTTTTACTGATAGTCACTCACTCTTCAACATGTATGTGATTAATAAAGAGAAAAATATGTCTTAGAATTGTAATGTGGTAGTAATAAAGCAAGTGGTAACTGTATATTGTAGATGATTCTGGTAGGAGATCATTGCCAACTTGGACCTGTTGTCATGTGTAAGAAGGCAGCTAGAGCTGGACTCTCACAGTCTCTGTTTGAGAGACTGGTTGTTCTGGGGATCAGACCTATACGTCTACAAGTGCAGTACCGTATGCACCCTGCTCTCAGCTCTTTCCCATCTAACATCTTCTATGAAGGCTCCCTGCAAAATGGAGTCACTCCAGGTAAAATCTTAGGTTTTTTTATTGGGAATAAATGATGATTCTTTTTTGGTAAAAAAATTTGTAAATACCTGCAAAATTATATATCAATACTAAATTTGGGGACAGTTCTTAGTATTTTGCAGAAAGGGGAAAACTTGATGTAACTTCTATGGGAAATCAACATGATTTTAAAGAATTATCTAGAGTGGAAGACATCTGTTATCAGCTCCTGTTACAAAAGGGTGATAAATCCCTGCAATCTGATATCTTGATTACACAAGGACTACTACACAAAAGATAAAAAGATATAATGAGTAGATTAACCCCTATTATAACATTCTATATTATAAAGTATTTCAATAATGCAGTATCCTAAAGTTGTAATTTCTTTACAGCTGAAAGAATCCGCAGTAGTTTGGATATACCATGGCCCCAGCCAGACAAGCCAATGTTCTTTTATACATCATCAGGACAGGAGGAAATATCCAGTTCTGGAACATCCTACTTGAATAGGTAAATTCATAAATAAAGCTTTTTATGTTAACTTAATTGTGAAGGCAGCCGTACACTTATTAATATTAATTTTCAGGCAGTTTTAATTTTAGACAAGCCAGAGCTACAGGTGTCATATCTATGAAATATGGTTATATCCCATGAGGGGCTCTGACTTGCTATAAAGACTCATTAATCACTTAAGTCTGTGCTAATATTTGTGATCTATGATTTCAATAGGAGAGTTCCCCAATAATTCTGTAATCATGGGTCTGATACCGATGTAATGTCTCGAAAAACTTCTAAATGTTAGTTATTGAGAAAATCAAGTTTTATTGTGTGTTTCATTATTTTTCAACTAAGAAGAAAAGGGACTCTTTTAGAATAAACATGTAATCTTAAAATGAAACTTTTACTTGGATAAATCACATTTTACTGTCTAAAATAAATGTTATGTTTAATTTTAGAACTGAGACTGCATCAGTAGAGAAGGTAGCTACAAGGTTTCTAAGGTCTGGAGTAAAGCCAGAACAGATTGGTATTATAACACCATATGAGGGACAGAGAGCTTATATTGTACAATACATGCAGTATAGTGGATCATTAAACAAGAAACTCTATATCGTATGTTATATTCACTTCTATTTACCCACACTAACATTTGTTGTCTTGAATTTGTATAATGGATTTCTCTCATTTGACTTTGAAACTCTTTATTATTTAAGCAATTTCAATTTCCAAACACTTAAATGAAAATGAGTGTCTAAACTATTGACTTATAATCTGACCTACCTTCAGATTGATGGTATATGATTGCCAATATGATAGCTATAGCTAAGTTTTATCTATGGAGACTGTCGGCTCTATGAACTATGTATGTTAAACATCCAGATGCTGCATATGCTCTCAAAACAGTAATTTGATCACCTTTGGTGTAAGGCTATTTCTCTGCTGATTATGAATGAATGCAGTGATAATTTTGCATTAACCAAGTTGTGGTCATTTGAAACAAGGACACTGGTTTGTTAAATTTAGAGATTTATCTAAATGTATTGCATTAGGTTGGTGCTACTTTGATATAAATATGTTATACATCCTGTTTTTAGCTCACCTGTCACAAAGTGACAGGGTGAGCTTTTGTGATCGCTTTTCGTCCGGTGTCCGTCCGGCGTCCATCCGTCCGTAAACTTTTGCTTTAAATGACATCTCCTCATAAACCGCTGAGCCAATTTCATCCAAACTTCACAGGAATGTTCCTTTGGTGGTCACCTTTAAAAATTGTTCAAAGAATTTAATTCCATGCAGAACTCTGGTTGCCATGGCAACCGAAAGAAACATCTTTAAATATCTTCTTTTAAACAACCCTAAGAGCTAGAGCTTAGATATTTGGCATGAAACATCTTCTAATGAGTGTCTACCAAGTTTGATCAAATAAAAGCCCTGGGGTCAAAATTGGCCCCGCCATAGGGGGTCATAGATTTTCCCTATATGCATATAGTAAAAACTTAAAAAATCTTCTTTTAAAGAACCCAAAGAGCTAGAGCTAAGATATTTGGCAGGAAACATCTTCTAGTGAGTGTCTACCAAGTTTGTTCAAATAAAAGCCCTGGGGTCAAAATTGGCCCCGCCCCAGGGGGTCATTGATTTTCCCTATATGCATATAGTAAAAACTTAAAAAAATCTTCTTTTAAAGAACCCAAAGAGCTAGAGCTTAGATATTTGGCATGAAACATCTTCAAGTGAATGTCTACAAAGTTTGTTCAAATAAAAGCCCTGGGGTCAAAATTGGCCCCGCCCCAGGGGGTCATTGATTTTCCCTATATGCATATAGTAAAAACTTAAAAAATCTTCTTTTAAAGAACCCAAAGAGCTAGAGCTAAGATATTTAGCATGAAACATCTTCTAATGAGTGTCTACCAAGTTTGTTCAAATAAAAGCCCTGAGGTCAAAATTGGCCCTGCCCCAGGGGGTCATAGATTTTCCCTATATGCATATAGTAAAAACTTAAAAAATCTTCTTTTACAGAACCCAAAGAGCTAGAGCTAAGATATTTGGCATGAAACATCTTCTAGTGAGTGTCTACCAAGTTTGTTCAAATAAAAGCCCTGGGGTCAAAATTGGCCCCGCCCCGGGGGGTCATTGATTTTCCCTATATGCATATAGTAAAAACTTAAAAAATGTACTTTTAAAGAACCCAAAGAGCTAGAGCTAAGATATTTAGCATGAAACATGTTCTAATGGGTGTCTACCAAGTATGTTCAAATAAAAGCCCTGGGGTCAAAACTGGCCCGCCCCGGGGGTCATTGATTTTCCTTATATGTGTATAGCAAAAACTTAAAAATCTTCTTTGAAAAAACCCAAATAGCTAGAGTTTAGATATTAAGCATGAAACATCTTTAAGTAAATATCTACAAAGTTTGTTCAAATAAAAGTCGGGGTCAAAACTGGCCCTGCCCCAGGGGTGTCATTGTTTTTTTAACTATATGTGTATAGTAAAAACTTAAAAAATCTTCTTTTAAAAAACCCAATGAGCTAGAACTTAGATGTTTAGCATGAAACATCTTCTAATGGGTGGGGGGGGGGGGGTGCTATATACAGGTGAGCGACCTCAGGGCCATCATGGCCCTCTTGTTAGCTCACCTGTCACAAAGTGACAGGGTGAGCTTTTGTGATCACTTTTCGTCCGGCATCCGTCTGTAAACTTTTACTTTAAATGACATCTCCTCATAAACCACTAAGCCAATTTCATCCAAACTTCACAGGAATGTTTCTTTTGTGGTCACTTTTAAAAATTGTTCAAAGAATTTAATTCCATGCAGAACTCTGGTTGCCATGGCAACCGAATAGCAACCGAAAGATAAAAACTTTAAATATCTTCTTTTAAAGAACCCAAAGAGGTAGAGCTTAGATATTTGGCATGAAGCATCTTCTAGTGAGTGTCTACCAAGTTTGTTCAAATAAAAGCCCTGGGGTCAAAATTGGCCCCGCCCCAGGGGGTCATTGATTTTCCCTATATGCATATAGTAAAAACTTAAATAATCTTCTTTTAAAGAACCCAAAGAGCTAGAGCTAAGATATTAAGCATGAAACATTTTCTAATGAGTATCTACCAAGTTTGTTCAAATAAAAGCCCTGGGGTCAAAATTGGCTCCGCCCCAGGGGGTCATTGATTTTCCCTATATGCATATAGTAAAAACTTAAAAAATCTTCTTTTTAAGAACTCAAAGAGCTAGAGCTGAGATATTTAGCATGAAACATGTTCTAATGGGTGTCTACCAAGTTTGTTCAAATAAATGCCCTGGGGTCAAAATTGGCCCCGCCCCGGGGGTCATTGATTTTCCTTATACGTGTATAGCAAAAACTTAAAAAATCTACTATGAAAAAAACCAAATAGCTAGAGTTTAGATATAAAGCATGAAACATCTTCTGGTGAGTGTCTACAAAGTTTGTTAAAATAAAAGCCCTGGGGTCAAAATTGGCCCCCCCCCCCCCCCCCGTCATTGATTTTCCTTATATGTGTATAGTAAGAACATAAAAAAACTTCTTTTAAAAAAACCCAATGAGCTAGAGCTTAGATATTTAGCATGAAACATCTTCTTATGGGTGTCTACCAAGTTTGTTCAAATAAAAGCCCTTGGGTTAAAATTGGCCCTGCCGGAGGGGGGGGGGGAGGTCAGGTCATTGTTTTTCATTATATGTGTGTAGTAAAAACTAAACATCATGAAACATCTTCTAATGGGTGTCTTCCAATCTTGTTCAAATAAAAGCCCATGGGTTTAAACTGGCCCTGCTCCTATACAGGTGAGCAACCTCAGGGCCATCATGGCCCTCTTGTTTATGATTAAATATAGAATGGATTATAACATTATGTATTTAAGTCAGATATATATTCTGTTTTGGTGATAAATCAGTAAGTTTGTAATTTTCTCTTACAGGAAATAGAGGTTGCCAGTGTTGATGCTTTCCAAGGACGAGAGAAAGATTTCATTATCTTATCATGTGTGAGATCTAATGAACACCAGGGGATTGGTTTCCTTAATGATCCTAGACGTCTTAATGTTGCCCTGACTAGAGCAAAGTATGATCTTATCACATTTATCACACATGATATATATAGCAAAATAATCACTGTTCTTTTAGTTCATCTATTTAATGTTGTAAAAAGAAGATTTATTTTTGGTGTTCCAGGAGACTGTTAATTTATATTTAGTTCATTTAGATCCAATTCTTATTCGAAGAATAAGATGAGCTATTGTACTCACCATAGCATCAGTGTTGGCATTGATGGTGCTGTCACATTTTGGTTTTTCAAGTTTGTATATCCAAAACCACTACAGCGAATGGGTTGAAACTACCCACATTTGTTCCCTGTAATTATCTTACATAATGGGCACAGGTCTCATTACTCTGAGTTTACTTTTTACACACCTATGCCCCTGTTCTTACTGTCAAGCATTTAGAATAGTCAAGCATTGTGTTATTTCATATATAAATTAACTCTAAACAAATATACTATTTCTGAAGAGGAAAGGGAAAACAGTCTTCCCTTTGGTCTTAAAGGCAGCTAATATGAAATTTGTAGATGAACCTTGAAGAGTACTTTGAATCTTTGATTGAATTTTCAGATGTTAAGCTTCATAATTTCTCAAGTATGTTTTGTTTAATGTTTGTATGTATGTTTTCTTCCGAGTTAATTTACATTTTGTATGTGACATTTAGTGATGTTTATTTTATGTTACAGGTATGGCATCATTATTGTTGGCAATCCAAAGGTCTTGTCTAAGGTAAATGTTTAACTAAATAAGAATTATGTTCTAAGTTATTTAAAGTATTTAAAATTTCCTTACTTTGGTGATCATTAAAAAATGTGTGTTAATTTAAGCACTTGTAAAGTTTTAAGGTTAGGATGAGCAAATTTGGGTAAATTCTTACAGAACTGCTATCATACCATTGGCAGTCAGCCTAATTAGTTTGATTTTATCTGTAATGAATAGTATCAGTGACGCTGTTTTCATAGCAGTTAATTTAACATATTTATTACATTTATCTTGAAAATGTAATGGAAAAGGCACCAAATGAAATTAATAACAGATTCCTTTAGAAAGCTTTAAAGAGTAGCCAATATCAGCATATAAGAAATTGAAAGTTTGATTAAAAGTTTATCAATTATCTTGCTTGAATTAAAGTTGTACACTATATCTCCTCCAGCAACCACTGTGGAATCACTTGTTGACATATTACAAAGAGCAGAGATGTCTTGTAGAGGGACCTCTAAATAACATGAAGGAAAGTCTCATACAGTTCAGCAAGCCCAGAAAACTTGTCAACTCTACAAACCCTGTAAGAACTTTGCTACTAGTCACCTTAAATATCCAATATTGTTGATTTATCAGCAGGCAGTTATTGCTTTATTTGAAATAAAAAAAATTACTGTATGATATCACAAAACCAGTGTGTTTCTGTTAACAGTAAACCTGTATTACCTCATATTTTTGATAAAGATATTTTGTTATATTAAACTGAGAGCAAGAAAGTATTTCGAGTTGAGGTCTTTTAATTTACAGATTAACTGATTTACAGCAGTTTTACATACGATACCTCTGTAGTTTGGTATTCTGATTGACACTTGCTCTTTATCTCATTTGGTTCACTGATATAAATATTGAATCCTTTCATGTGAGGAAACTGTTGAACTAGATAATTTATAGTTGGTAATACAACCTAAGTGCCTGAAATAATTAAGGTAGAGTGCATGTGGTCATTCTACTCAGGTGCCCGTTCGTGTCTGAAATAATGCACGGAAGGGCACCTGAGGTCTACCTCCACCAGTTAAGCTGGAAAGTCCCCATATGACCTATACCGTGTTGCTGTGATGTAAAACCCAATCAAACAAAAAAAATGTGGTTATTCAGTAAAATTGTGCAAGTGCTTCCTGAAATACACTCAAAAACAACTACAACAAAATAATAGAGCATAGGTTTTATTTTAAGAAAACATCACAGTATTAGATTATAAGATGCAGACAGTTTGAACTCAGTGGATATGTATTTAACCAAAAAGGCAGTAAAAAGAGAAATGTGTGTCTGCATAAAGAAGATAATTATTATGTCATTAATTATTTAGAATTTACTGGAAATCACATATTTATTTTGTTACTTTTCAGGGTGGTCGTTTCATGAGTAACACAATGTTTGATGCAAGAGAGGTGCTTATCCCTGGCAGTATGTATGATAGAAGTAAGTACACTTTACTTTAGCTTTGATTTGTCCATAGCTATAGAGATCTTAATTGGTTATTAATCACTGATATTTCTGCTTTCCAAAATGATCATATTCATCTTAACTTTCTATGTGTCCTGTTTGTTTGACGTTATTCCAGCCAAAAAGTTTTATTGCTTTATTTATTCACTCTACCTCTTCAGATATTAAGAATTTAAACTAACCAGGTTTTAATTGATTTTACAAAATCCCAGCATTATTTTTCTTTTAAGAATCATAGTATTTTCCAAGGTTGAAAAATACACAACAAACTATTTGTTTTAAACTTAAACATGGTATAAGTCAACAGAGATAATACTTGTCATGCCATTGAAATTATTCAAATATGATTTTTTTTTACCTTAAAGGTGTAGGCTACAGGGAGCCAGTGGTTCGTACCCATGACCAGCTTGGATTTATTGGACCAGAGAGGGCATACACAGGACCTGGAATGAACATGCCTATACCAGTCAACATGTTCATAAGCCCCATGCCACAACCTTTCCATCCACCCCAACAACCTATGCAGATACGTAAGTACCTTTGAAATATTAAAAATGTAGTTTGTTTCATGGCCTTGATTTAAAATGTACTTTAACTATAGTGACAGTGATTTCTTTGGCTATTGGTAATTTCAAATGAAAGAATAGTTATTTTATCTGTGGGTTGTTTTAAAATGGAAGTATAGCTCTTTCTTTGACCGTGGACCACTTTAAAATGGAAGAATTGCTACTTCTTTGAGATATTAAAAATGGGAGAATAATTGTTAGTCAGTCTAAGTAGAACTAAATGCTTAGCAAGTAAACATTGATACTATCAGTAAAATGTTAGATATAATTTCTATTGTCAATAACAAAGTTTTACATAACATTTTAAGCCTTTAATAGCATTCGGCACGATATGGCCAGTTATGTGTTGACGTGCCGTAAAAATCCAAACAAACAAACTTAAAGTTAGTTGAACAAAATAAACCAATTGCTCAATTCAGCTTTCTGTCTGTTGCTCATTGCCATTATAATATAAAAAGTGATAATAAAGTAATATTTATGTTTGTATAGCTGCCAATGCACGTGGACGTGGTACTGGAGGACGTGGACGTGGAATGCGCACTAAACCACCACGGTATAGCCAGAACACGCAGCAGAGTCAGGCTTCACAGTTGACTAACAGTCAGAGTCAGGCAAGCCAGGACATCTCTCAGCCCTTCTCCCAGGGACCTCTAACACAAGGTGGTCTCTCCATGAGTCAGCCATTCCAGATGAGCCAGCCTGGACTCTCTGGATTATCCCAGCCTGAATTGTCACAGGTAACCCACAAATATCTGCATAAAGAAATTTTCATACATTATCATACTTTGTAAGAATTATTCAGGACTTCTGTGTTAAGGAATGCACATATCCAGATAATTGAGAAGCATAAACATAAACTTTCTGTTATTGATCTGTCAATAAAATTGCAACATGTATCTTGAATTGTCAAGGAAGATTATTTCAGTTCTTACATGTACTGTTTCATGTTTTCAGGACAGTTTCCTGGCGGATGACTTCAAGTCACAGGCTGATGGCATGTTGTCACAGGACTCTACATACCAGGGTGACCGCATGTTTTATGCCTCACAGCTCTCACAAGGTCCTTTCAACTAGACAACAGGAGCTTCAGGCCAACTAACAAGGTAATTACAGCTCTATATTAGAAACAATGTTGAATGTTATAATTTTACTTCAAACCACATGAGATCATTGATTGTTATGATCAGTAGTCATTGTTTTACAGGCCAGGAACAGGAAACTCAAAACTTACACATTTGTCTATGTATTTGCAAATATATTTGAAATCTACATGGTAAATAAACCCTTCTGACAAGTAATATGTTAGCTCAAGTTCTAGATGTGGCATAATATTTTTGTGATATTTAAGGCAACGTGACTGAAGTCATTTGTCATACTCTACTACTGTTTGAATTTATTAGTCCCCTACCGGTTTACCGGAGGGGACTTTAGGTTTACCCTCCGTCCGTCTGTCCGTCCGTCTGTCTGTCAGTCCGTCAGTCCGTCTGTCCACAAAACTGGATCCCGCGATAACTTGAAAAGTACTGAAAATATTTTTATGAAACTTGATATATGGATAGATGGCAGTATGGAGATTATGCACGTCTTTTTCTTTTCCTCCTATGTTGAAAATTCTGGTTGCTATGGCAACAAATAGGCTGAAAATATGGCAAATTTTACACATAAACTGGATCCAGTGATAACGCAAAAAGTACAGGAAATATTTTTTTGAAACTTGTAATATGTGTAGATGGCAGTCTGGAGATTATACACGTCTTTTTCTTTTCTTCCTATGTTGAAAATTCTGGTTGCTATGGCAACACATAGACTGAAAATATGGCAAATTTTACACATAAGCTGAATCCAGTGATAACTCAAAAAGTACTGGAAATATTTTTATGAAACTTGACATGTGGGTAGATGGCAGTCTTGAGATTATGCATGTCTTATCTGTTCTTCCTATTTTGAAATAATATTGGTTGCCTTGGCAACAAATAGGCTTAAAACATGGCAAATATAACAATATTTGTGATAAGTCAAAAAGAGCTGAAATTTTTTATAAAATTGCATCTTTAATTCCAGAGTTATCTCCTCTTTAATAATTTTGCTTTTTAAAATGTTATATTTTGGTAACAGGGATGTTTCAAATATTAACTTTAGAGTGTCCTTCAGTCCGTCTGTCTGTCTGTTCATAAAAACTTTTTCCTGTGTCAGATCACTTTTAAAGAACATTTCCAACAAATTTACTTAAAATAGAGAAAAATTTAAACATTAGTGAATGGCCAATGGCCCTTCAGAATGCTGATGGGGTTCTAACCGGTAGGGGACTTATGGATTGCTTGCAATACTATGATAATTGCTTGTTTATTTAAGCAATTAATAGTTTTATAGAATCCATGAAAATTTTGTTTTTTCCTAACTTCCAGTCGCTTTATGATAAAAATGCTGTAAAAATTGTCCAAAGCTTAAAGCAAACAAATATATAACATGAAAATGATATAATTTCAGGAAACGAAGGTGTTTGATGAAGTGAAATGATGATACATCATCGTAACCAACGACAACCAGTTGTGTAGAGGGAGAGAGCAGTGTCAGAATGTCTGACGACAATGACAACCACACAGTGACAACATGGCGTCCATGCCACACCTACAGTCTCACAAACACCACTCTTCAGTGACATGTCTGTTAAAACAAAGATAACAGTCACACTATAGACAGGTTTTCCTGATCATATGTCACAAGACTATGCAAATAGGCAAGAATTTAAACCAAAGTCTAGGTTTATACTAAAAAGACATTTGAATTCAGTAAAAAAAATATAGTGTTAAACCAGACAATGGGTAAATGATGGTAAACCAGTCTTATTAAAAAAGCTGAAATAGAGTGGGAACCATTCTGAGCAACAGGAAGTGGTGATACGTCTGCTGACTGTCACATGGTCAATGTCAAGGACACTGCAGATTGTTAGATTTATGTTAATTGATTGTTTACTGTGGAAGTTGTTGGGATATCTTGAGATACTATTTGATGGTTCTAACGTGATTATATACAAATTACAATTAGATTTGATTTGTGTTTTGCTATTAGAGCTGGTGTGTTTTGAGGGAAGAACGCATTGGATTGAAGATGATGAACTAACTAATACATATATATGTAGTTGACATAACACCCAAGACAACATATACAGAAGGCACATTGAACATTGACAAATCTGCAATATCATCGTGCATCAGTTTGTTAAACAAAAAATCATGACTTTCTTCCATGCAAACTGAAATATAATACAATATTGTTTGAACTTTGTCATTGATTGTTAATCTTTTATGAATGTAAAATCCTTCCTATAATTTTGTGATAACTCATTACTGTCTTTAATTAAGTGGAATGAATTTAAAGATTTTGTGTTGTTTCAAGTACTTAACAAATTTGTTGAAATTTAAGTAGTATTTTTTTAATTTTTAAGCTTAAGTGTTGGACATTGCCAAAGATATTCTACCTATTGTGGTGAATTTGCATAACTTAATCTGATGTCATTATAATTAGTTTTGTGCTATTTTTCTTTACCATTAAGTAATTTAGCAAGTAAGTTAGTACAAATGAGTGATGCATTTAGTTTTGCTAGTGGTTAATGTTACATGCAATGGAAATGATGCTGCATTCTTTGGAAAAAATGTGAGTAGTGACTTAAATTTGAAAATTAAAGAGAATATGAAAACTTAGTTAATGAATTGAATTTCAATGAATTATGGTTCATTTTAATACTATTAAATTTGTCACTTACATTCTTTGAGCGTAGAACATGTTGCCCTGAAATCTTAATGTAATTATGTGTTGGGTATTGACATTGATATGATGTTGATAAAATTCACAAATTTCTTTTCAGTGGCAACAAAAAAGGTAAACATTTTCTTAATAAATGCATCTAGAATCAAATGGGAACAAGGAATGTAAGTAATTGACAATACGAAAATATTTGAATCAAATTTGAGATTTATTATTTATCATTTTTAGCAAAAAATTAAAATTTTAAGGATTCTTTGTTGTGCTGTATTTACATATACAAGTTTGTTAAGTTTTCTTTATTTTTTAAGGGGAGTGAACTTAGTGATATTATTGTTAAAAGTTATTGCCCCTTTATGATATGTGCATGATCTTCAGTTCAGTGCATTTTTCCCGTCTCTGTTGTATTCAATTGATAGATGATTTTAAATGATTGTAACTCTTTAATCCTGTAATTATGGTTTTCAGCAAATTAGGTAGAGGTTATTTGTGCACTTTTATTGTAACCTTCATAATATTACACTGCATAATCTGTCCGCCATGTTTCTTTTTAAGTTTTGTTTACCAGGGTATCTCTTCAATATAAACAGTTTCAAATTGTTTAAGACAATAGAATTTTACTATGTAATTATTTAGGTATTCATTTATATTAAATTGTTCATCATCAGGTGCCCGTTCGTGCCTGAAATAATGCACGGAGGGGCACCTGAGGTCTTCCTCCACCAGTAAAGCTGGAATGTCGCGATATGACCTATACTGCGTCGATGTGACGTAAAACCCAAAACAAAAATACAAAGTCTCTTAATAAGATAACATTTATGAAGTGATCATGAATATATTTTGAAAGCCATATTATTTTTTGTAATATCACTTTGCAAATTTTTGATTTTCTTAACGCATGAAATATATGAAGACAAATAAGTCTTCATAGAGTATAGTTGCTTAATTTCTTTGCAGCTTTAACAAGTTTGAATGTCTTAAAGTGGCTAAAATTGTGATTTCATCTTAAATTTACAATCCATTTGTGAGAATAATTTTGATTATGAAAATGGAAATAATATGGATAAAATATTTAATGATAAGATAGATCTAATAAACTTGGAGAACTTTTTCCCAATATAATGTATAACTTGCTGATTTAGTAAAAGAACAGAAAATAAGTTTAGATATGAGAACTATTTTCTTAACAATTTGAAACTGGTTTATATTGATCTGTCCTGAATGCCTCTTGACATATTTTTTTATCCCGGATAAATTGTTTGTGCTTTGAAACTCGACTCCTTAAATTATAAATAATACTGTTACTATAAGATACTGAATTCAATGGAAAATAACATATCCGATTATATTGTGATTTTGTTGAAGATTTGTCAGGAGATTGTTCAGTTAAACAAAAATAAAATATACTAAAACTTACTTTAAATGATTTTTATTTTAAGATAGAATATTGTTAAATGATATTCAGCTCGTTTCATGGGCTTACATTTTTTTTAAAAGAAAAGATTTTATGTTTCAAATCTTTGGTGTTTTTCTTCTTTTTTCAAACATTATGTGCTAGGGAAAGTTTCATAGTTACATAGATATACAAGTCAATTTTTTCTTTTCTTTTGTTTGCTATTTTGTTTCATTGCAGTTGTTTATATATACGTTACTTACATACATGTACCTGTATTTTATATGAATATCCAGATGTTATGTATGAATCCGAATATCTTAATTTCTTTGAATAAGTTGTTTGATCAATGATTAATTTGTATTGATTAATTTGTATTGGCTTTTCTCTTATCTAAAAAAACAAGATCAACCACAGCTTTAAAGAAGTTCCATGGTGATTTATGTGAAAGAAATGATTTTATACAGTATAATAAGTACAAGATAAAGAGTCTTTAAAATATATCTGACCTTTCTAAAATAAGGCTTATGTTGTAAAAGTTATTGTTGAATAAATTTTAATGTTACATTATACCGGCTAACTGTTATTTAAGGCTTTAAGATTATTTTTTTCTTGTGGAAATAAAGGCTTATGAATGTTACTTTTTGTTTGTTTTTTGTCATTGTTATTCCTTTTGTCAGTAGCCGTTTTGTAGTCCCCACAGTTACAGTATGATGTAAGTATATGACAACATACATTTTCCTGTCTGCCTAGATTATTTGTACTTCAACTATGCCATTAGATATGTTAGAGATAATCAGGCACAAATACTGAACGTAAGAAGAGAACATGCTGTTCACTATCAGTTTTATGCCCCCGGGCATATTGTAATTGAACTGTCCGTCCGTCTGTCCGTACGAGGTTAACCTAGAACGGCAAGTTGGATTTTACTTGGATTTTTCTTAAGTTGTACCTGTACCAATGGCTTCTTAGTATACACACTTACTAGTCAATACAAAGTACATGATCTGGGCAAGTTACATAACTCTGGCTTTCATATTTACCAAGTTATTGCCCTTTTCAGCACTTAGAAAATGAAAAATGGTTAACTTAAAACAGCAAGTTGGAAATATCTTAAGTTCTATCTATACTAATGGCTTTATAATTTCCACACTTACTTATCAATACAAAGTACATGATATTGCCAAGTTATATAACTGTGTCATCCATATTTTCCAGTTATTTCCCCTTTTTTCACTTTGAAAATAGGGCCTTGTCTGGTTAACCTATTTCGGTAAGTTGGATTTATCTTAAATTTTCCTAATTGCTTAATTTCTTTAATGGTATCTTTCATATTTAGTAGGTGGATACCTTGGATGGTCCGTCCGTAAACTTTTACTTTGAATGACATCTCCTCATAAACCACTGGGCCAATTTCATCCAAACTTCACAGGAATGTTCCTTTGGTGGTCACCTTTAAAAATTGTTCAAAGAATTTAATTCCATGCAGAACTCTGGTTGCCATGGCAACCAAAAGAAAAAACTTTAAATATCTTCTTTTAAAAAACCATAAAAGCTAGAGCTTAGATATTTGGCATGAAACATCTTCTACTGAGTGTCTACCAAGTTTGTTCAAATAAAAGCCCTGGGGTCAAAATTGGCCCGGCCCCAGGGGGTCATTGATTTTCCCTATATGCATATAGTAAAAACTTAAAAAATCTTCTTTTAAAGAACCCAAAGAGCTAGAGCTAAGATATTTAGCATGAAACATGTTCTAATGAGTGTCTACCAAGTTTGTTCAAATAAAAGCCCTGGGGTCAAAATTGGCCCCGCCCAGGGGGTCATTGATTTTCCCTATATGCATATAGTAAAAACTTAAAAAATCTTCTTTTAAAGAGCTAGAGCTAAGATATTTAGCATCAAACATGTTGTAATAGGTGTCTACCAAGTTTGTTCAAATAAAAGCCCTGGGGTCAAAATTGGCCCCGCCCCGGGGGTCATTGATTTTCCTTATTTGTGTATAGCAACAACTTAAAAAATCTTCTTTGAAAAAACCCAAATAGCTAGAGTTAAGATATTAAGCATGAAACATCTTCTTGTGAGTTTCTACAAAGTTTGTTCAAATAAAAGACCTGGGGTCAAAATTGGCCCCGCCCCGGGGTCATTGATTTTCCTTATATGTGTATAGCAGAAACTTAAATCTTTTTTGAAAAAACCCAAATAGCTAGAGTTTAGATATTAAGCATGAAACATCTTCTAGTAAGTGTGTACAAAGTTTGTTCAAATAAAAGCCCTGGGGTCAAAACTGGCCCCGCCCCAGGGGTGACATTGATTTTCCTTATATGTGTATAGCAACAACTTAAAAAATCTTCTTTGAAAAAACCCAAATAGCTAGAGTTAAGATATTAAGCATGAAACATCTTCTTGTGAGTTTCTACAAAGTTTGTTCAAATAAAAGACCTGGGGTCAAAATTGGCCCCGCCCCGGGGTCATTGATTTTCCTTATATGTGTATAGCAGAAACTTAAATCTTTTTTGAAAAAACCAAAATAGCTAGAGTTTAGATATTAAGCATGAAACATCTTCTAGTAAGTGTGTACAAAGTTTGTTCAAATAAAAGCCCTGGGGTCAAAACTGGCCCCGCCCCAGGGGTGACATTGATTTTCCTTATATGTGTATAGCAAAAACTTAAAAAATCTTCTTTGAAAAAGCCCAATGAGCTAGAGCTTAGATGTTTAAAATGAAACATCTTCTTATGTGTGTGTGTGTGTGGGGTGGGGGGGGGGGCTATATACAGGTGAGCGACCTCAGGGCCATCATGGCCCTCTTGTTTAGTTGATGTCTTAGTTTAATAAAAAAACATGCCAAGGGAGGTCCTCCTTCTTTGGGTGTAGTAAGGGGTCATTTTGGTCAAGGTCAATGTTACCAATGTCAAGGTCACCAATGTTAAAAATAGATTTTTTACATTTTTACTGTTGTATTAACCTTATTCTATAGACAGATGTTATTTATAATTGATAAAAACATAAAATTTGATGGAGTTAGTGGGCAGTTGGGTTAAGGTCACCAGTGCTAAAAATAGATTTTTACACATTTGCTCATACAGCCTTTATTAAGTGACAGATTTTATACAGAATTTATTTTAGTTCGATTGTGTAGGAAGCTATAAGCAGACCTGGGGTAATCACTAATCGTAATCATCGATTTTTTAATTGATTACATGATTACACTGTAATTAATCATCATGTAATCGATTACCTTGCTCAAAATTGATTACATTAATTGTAATTAATCAATTACAGCTTGAATTCAGTCTGTAATTATGATTACAAATCGATTGATGTTGATTACTTTCAGATTTTACATGAAACTATTGGAATTCAAATGATTTATTTTAACTTATACTCCTTTATAATGATCTTTAATCACAAAATGTAGAGTGTAAATTGATTTTGATACACAATAGCAACATTTTTATTGAATATAAGAAATGTTCTCTATTGATATCCATATTTGAAGAAAATAATAGAAATTGTCATAATAAACAATGATTGTCCATAAAGGTAGTAAAATATCAAGTGATATGTTTTAAGACAATTATTCAAAATGAAGAAATTAGTTTTAATCCATACAGATTACAGTTAACCAAAATCTAACTGAAAGATATACATCATTGTTTGGCTTGTATTCTAACCAAAATGTCAAATCATTGGATTTATGATGTCTTTGAATTTCCTAAAGAGACATCTGGAAATGTGACAGCACAGTGCAAATTGTGCCCTAAGGAAGATAAATAGAGGTTATTTGTTTGTTTTGCATGTAAGATTGAAATATAATTTCACTGAGTGAACACCAGATGCAATATTTTCTCGAGTGGCGTAGCTGGTGTTCACGAATGAAATATATTTCAATCTTATATGTAAAACAAATAAATTTTCTTTTTATTTCATGCTTTTTAAGTGATTTTAAATATTTTTTACTGATTTTGCCGCGTAACGTCGCGCATTCTCCTTTGTGACGTCATCACATCATGACGTCACATCATCAATTTTGAAATATAGTTATGTTAAATTTCTCTAATTTTTGTTACATTTTTAACATAATGTATGGTGACATCGACTTTATTTTCCTAAAGAATCAAAATTTACGTATGACGGCATTTATTTCTGCATGTTATTCCATTTAGTTTGATTTTCTTTTCATCCGCATTCAGATAAAGTCCGGCTACAGTGAAAATTATATTTTATAAATTTCACTAGTGGTTTATCAGAGTATAATCATCTGATATATTACAGTAAAACACTTGAAAGCATGAAATAAATGGAAACACTAAGTCACATTCAAATTTCATTACCCACATACAGGTATGTTAAATTTTGTTTCACATATTTTGGTTAAACCATGTTTTAAAAAGTTTGAAACAATGTAGATAACTTCTTTACTTTGTATTTTCTAGAGTTAATGTCATATGCATATTATCATATTTTAATTATATGCAAAAGTTATTTTGTAAGGTGATAGACAATGTGTCTATATTATAATGGATACTTTTGTACCATTGAAGTTTGTAAAAAATTGATAATTTCTTTGTAAAGCCTATTGTCTCTTTGAATTCCCATACACAAAATTTATTGTTTTCACACCTGTTTTAACACCTGTATACAACATACTGTACAATTGACACTTTTCAAAATTTCTGTTGCAGAGAGTTAATTATGAAACCTACACCAAGAAGACTGAGGACCATTCTTGCATCATTGGCCCCTGTAGAGCATTTGTTTTTTCCGTCCTGATAGACACAGTCATATTATATGCCTTGGTTTAAAAAAAAAACTGAAACTGAAAAATGTTTATAGAACTTTATACATTGAATGTAATCAATTATCAATCAATTACTTTCCTAAAGTAATTGTAATTTAATTGATTACAGAGGCAAGTCTGAGTAATCAATTGTAATCAATTACAATAAAATCTGAAAGTATTTGTAATTAAATCAATTACTGATCAATGTAATCATCTGGTCTGGCTATAAGCTTATAAACACACTTTCGAATCCGTTCCTGGAACCAACCAGTACTAAGCAATTAGTGTATTAAGTTTCTTGCTCAAGGAAACAACGACTTGCCCCTGTCAGGGTTTGAAACCATGCGGCTAGCGATCATAAGATGACTAGTCCGAAGCGTTAACCACTCGGCCATGCCGCCATAACTTGCTTTGTATTCATCCTTTTGATTGGGATAGGGATCAGTGGGTCAAGGTCACTTGTGCTAAAAATAGATTTTTACACTTTTGCCCATACAGCTTTTATTTATTTATTGACAGATGTATTTCATATTTGGTAGGAAGATAACTTGCATTGGATGGAGTAAGGGGTCAGTTGGGTCAAGGTCACCAGTGCTAAAAATTGATTTTTACACTTTTGCCTATACAGCCTTTATTTATTGACAGATGTATTTCATATTTGGAAGGAAGATAACTTACATGGTATTCTTTCTTTGGATAGAGTTAGGGGTCAGTTTGGTCAAGGTCACCAGTACTCAAAATAGATTTTTACACTTTTGCCCATACAGCCTTTATTTAATGACAGATGTATTTCATATTTGGTAGGAAGAAAACTTGCATAAAGTTGAATATTTTTCAACGCAATGACTGGGCAACTTAT